GTAGATGGAATACTCTACCACTTTTAATGATTTAGGGTTTTGAAACAATAGTTTTAAATACAAATAATCTTAAAATTGGCGTTACATAAAATACATTAGTTAGTGTGTTGACTAAAAATAGGTTTATCTTTCCTCCATTATATATGTTCTATGCAAAAATTGCCAGTATTGGTTTTCCTTTCCTTTTTTAAAAAAATACTTAATTTTTGATAATAAGAACAATTAACATGAGATAGTGTTACACAGTTTCTGGTAATAGAAGTCTAGAGATAATAAGTGTGTTTCTCCAATGTCAAGTCCTGTGAGAATCTGATAGGCCTCCCTCTATTTGTATCCTGAAGAGATAGAAGATCAAATGAATAAATAAATGAAAATAAAAAAGAGATAGAAGATTAAGTTCCAGACACTGGACACAGGAGAGCAGGCTACTAAATTGAGKGCTTTCTGTGGACCACAGACTGCCTGGCAATCTCTTAGAGATTAAATTAGAGCTTTGTCAGTGGGTGGCCCTGAAGATAGATCTTCACTTCACTTCCTGTGGATCCCAAGAGGAAGATGTTTGCCTAACTAACCAAAGAATAGAAAATCTTTTTTTCTTAATAATGACCAATATTTACCATGTAAATTTCTTTATAAATCCCTAAAAATGAACAACAACAAAACCAAAAACACAGAGAGAAATCACCCATTAACTGCTGACAAACAAGGCAAGCCTTCTCCAGAGAGCACTATAGAAAGTCCCCTCTGACACTGTGAATTGGTACTCTACGAGAGCCAGCTAGCCCTTGATATACCCTGGGTAAGGAAGGTCAGATAAGAGTCTTTCATGACTCTTAGCTAAATTCAGGAATAAAAAATCCTACATATATTTGGCTATTCTGTAATCGTGGCTGGCTGGCTTTATTTTATAGGCTAGTCAGTTAAGGTTTGAGATGAACATTAATTAATTGGTCTGCTTCCTGGAATGGAAGAAGACAATTGTAACATTGAATCAAGACTATGGTTTTATAGTCATAGAGGGGAATGAGAGGCTAGCAATTTTTTTTGTTTTGTTTTTTCTTTGTACAATGGGAATAATGTAAGAAGCAAATAATCTCTTATCCCAAATTTTCTTCCATGTTCTCTATTAAAAAACTGTATAAAAGTGTTATCTATATAACAATTTTTACTTTTGTYTCTGCTGTCTGTTATTATTACATATTAACATATTATTATCTTCAAAAATTATTTGACTCTACTACCTTACTGGAACCACCTGGCTATCATGGCCTTATTTATTATAGACTCAGTTCTGGAATTTTATTTTCTTATCACTATTTCCTCTGCCATTTCTTARTTCTGGTTCTTATTGTATCTTATACTTGAAAACTTTTAAGTTTTTTTTTTTTTTAAGATGTTACTAGACCTTTATTTATTTATATCCGGTGCTGAGAATTGAACTCAGTGCCTCATACATGCTAGGCAAGTGCTTTGCCACCGAGCCACAACCCCAGCCCATATTGAAAAATTTTGAAACTGATACAGTATATCAAATTCTTATTTTCTCAACTTTTTATTAGCTAAGTGCCCTTAATTATCTCCTTGTTTAAAAAAATAAGGAAAATAGACAATGCACACAAAATAATAAATTGACCACTTATAAAATTAGGTCCAACCCATTTAACATAGGCCATCTATTACTATCCACCATGCTTTAGTTTTATTAGAGTGAACTTGTTAATGATAAGGTGTTTGAAGACACATGATGTAAATACAGATGTAAGGAAACATTGCTAGTCTTGCAGAATTTGTAGGATTTCTTAAAATCAGGAAAGGTGATGATGGAGGATTTGCATCACATGTTATATAATGGATTCATGATCACCTAGTATAGTTGGCAAATATAGCAAGAATTATTATATAACAGTTATGTTTTTTTAAAGGTAAGTTTTCACATCATGATTGCCAAACGTCTTTAAGAAGATTGATGAAGTTCTCAGATATTACCAAAAAATGACCATCTTTTCACAATAGCACCATGTAGTTTTGTCTAAAAATTTATGTGGAAAATTTTTTAACTCTAAGGATTTATAAATGCGTGCAATTATTATAAAATATATTTTTTAAATCTGATACACTTGCTTAGGAAAAAAATTCTTTTTTTTTTTTTCACAATTTGTTCTGAAATATTGGGACCTGATCATGCTTTGTTGCAGGAACCAGAAAATATGTTAGGTGTATTAAACAGAAATGTTTACTACATAAATAAAGTGTTTTATGGAAAGGTTGGAAAATTTAAAGGTTCTGCTTCTAAGCTAAAACTTTTATAGATTTTGAAACATGGTCTACCAGGAAAGCTAAGACCTTTGAGGTTATTATTGCAAATTGGAGAGTGAACATTGGAATGTTGTTCCAGAGAAGCTTCAAATTTTCAGATCTTTACTGTCAACAGAACAACCAAAGCACAAAGGACATGATTCTCACCTCATTCCACTTTCTAAAACCCTGTKTGACTACACTTAATTGGTTGAACCCGGCTATAAGAGAGTCTATGAAAATAGTTTTTCTTTACAATTTAATAAATAGAAGGAGAGGTGGTGAGGATTGGGAGAACCCGTCTAACCTAACAACCAAATTGTCTAGAGTGTATTACACTTAACAGGTTGTTCTGAACAACCCAATCCCAGTGTATAAGAAATAGCCCCAGGTACTGTGAGACTGAAGGATATGGACAGATCCAGAATTACACAGAGTATAGTTTATTGGGAACTTACTAATAGAAACATGGTCCTGTGAGGCAGCACAATCAGTGAATCCCCTTGATTTGGGTCAGCARTAAGGATGTGTATATTGGTCGGGACCCAAATGGCTTCATCTAAGCCTACATGTACCTGGTTTATCTCACTCTAATACCAAAGAGTCAGGGACATTCCTGGCACAAGGGTCTGGTCATAAAACTCTACATACCACTCTAATGGTTTTGTGTATTTATAGTATGCTGGGAGGCTACATGGGGGAAAACAGACCAATGTTACTCAGGAGTGATCATGGTGTTTATGACTCAAGATGGTTGTAGTCATGTCATGATGAATCCGTATTCAGGTATTTTTCTGGTTCCAGTTTTCATGTATAACAGGATTCTCCTTAATCATTTGCCAACTGACTATGTAAATTATAATTAAAAATTTAAGATATCTTCCCAGTCACTGATACTATGACATTTGTTGTAACTAGCTATGGATGCTGTGTTGGAGTAGCTGCCTGTGACTGTGGAAGTATAAATCCATATAGAAAAAAAGTGTGTAATAATTTCYACTATGCTAGGCCACTATGACTTAAAGATCACTTTCTTCTTTGTGAATTTGTTTTGTTTTGTTTTGCTAACTGTCCCAAATTTTTACAATGCTTTTTATGATATTCAGATCTGTGATGGAAAAGAACTGGCCTATATAATATCACTTAAAAATACAGTTTTGGAAAAAAACAAGTGTCATATATATATATTTTTAATTTGGAGAAGTTAGAGGAAAAAAAAGAAAAAGGAACAACAATGAAAGAGATCTGTTGAAAATAGAAGGGAGACCCTTAGGGTAGTGGAAGGCATCCGGGCATGGGGAAAAGGAGAGGACAAGGGGAGGTACTGGGCAATGAAATTGATTAAATCGTGTTATGCACTTGTATAAATATGCCATTATGTATAATTAATATGCACCAATAAAATTTTTTTAAAATAAAATAAATAAAAATAGAGTTTTGGGAAATTGTTTCAGAATCTACTTCTTGTATGCCATTCATCAATTAACCTTTTTTATATAATAATAATTTGTGGGAAAAAGATAACCATAATTATATACCAGGATAATTCAAGAATTGTTGATTTGTAATTGAAGGTCACTTTTAAGGTGTGCTTGAAAAATGAAGATAATATATATCTTTAATTAACCCATTGTAATAAAGGACTAGTCATACTTTTATTAGGATGAATTTTAATGCTAGCATTTTGTCTTTTAATTACTTCTCATATGTACCAGCATCATAATTGGTGAATGGAATTATGTATAGTGAGCAAACAGGGTATAAAACATTGTTTATTATAGTAATTTCCTTTACAACGGAAAATTTACAGCACAATTTATCAAACTCTGCATTATAATACTCTTTTGTCTGCACATTGGTGAAAAATAATGACTTGAGGTGTGTGTGTATGTGTGTGTGTGTGTGTGTGTGTATACACCTATGCTTACATGTAAATATAATGTAACACTCAAATTTTTGCCTAAGTGTCCATCATGCTAGGCATGGTGGCACATACCTGTAATTCCAGAGACTCAGGAGGCTGAAGTAGGAGGACACTGTTTCAAAATAGAAAGAGCTGGGGATGTAGCTCAGTGGAAAAAAAAAAAAAAAAATCACTGCATTCAATCTTTTATACTGAAAAAGCAAAGAAAAAAAAAATAAAGTGTCCATCCTTATAAATTGTGAAGAACCATCAGTTATCACTTTTTGAAATGCCTTGGGTAAAGCTTTAAAATTGCAGTAAACATGATATAAGTGGTATGACACATGCTCATAAAGTTTGTGCCCATGCTCCCACAGATATCAAAAGTACTTCACATTCCCTCATTAGAGACTTATTCGTAACTACTTTTAAAAGATTGTGATTGCCTTTAAAACTCAGGATTACTTCAGAAATGTCTTCAGGGACTATCCTAACAGCAAATGTTCTTAGGCAAGAAAGAGATAGACCTAACTTAGAAATAACTGTCACTCAGCATTTTCGTTCCTACTCCTCGTCATCTATTGTTCTTAGTGACATTAGAAGATGAGACATATAAGGACCTTAGGATCATATAGTAATGTGTATAAACTACTATAAAATCTTGTGTTTCTGTGGAGGTATCTCTTTGGAAGTATTACAACCAACAAATACAATTTTGTATTAATTTTACATTTCTTCTTTTGATGTTTGGATTTTTTCCTAATTTTCTATCTAACTGTAATCTGTACTTGTTGTCCCTCAGGAAATTTTGGATATGAAGTCTGAAGGACAGGCAAATGTAATTCAGCAACTGGAACAAACCATCGAAGATCTGAGGACCAAAATAGCTGAACTAGAAAAGCAGTACCCTGCCCTGGACACCGAGGTGGCCAGCAGCCATCAAGGGGCTGAGAATGGAGTGACATCCTCAGAAGATGTCTGCCTGGAAACTTTAAGATTAGTAGGAAAGGATATRCAACCTCAAAGGATTTTAGAGGCAAAATCTATACAGACTTCCCCAACAGAGGAGGGTGGGATACTAACACTACCATCTGTGAAGGCACTGTCAGAAGGTCCTCCGTGCCCACCTGGGGCTGAAAGTGGAGAGTCAGCTGTTCCAACGTCACCTTCTGGACCTCAGACAAAATTTTGTTCTGAGATTTCTTTGATTGTGTCTCCAAGGCGAATATCAGTACAGCTTGAGGCCCATCAGTCCACGCCGAGTGTATCACAGCCTCTACCACCTTCATCCCTTCCATGTTCTGATAGTCAGGGGCAGCCTGGGTCACAGTTGTCCCATCCTTCTTTACATACTGAGTTTGAAACCAGCCATGAACCCTCTATTTTCTCCTCCTTTGGAAACAGCTGTAATATTCCACCCCCACCACCTCTGCCTTGCACAGAATCCTCTACCTCCATGCCTAGCCTGGGCATGGCAACTCCATCACCTTCCCCTCTCCCTGATGTGACAGTGCCTCCTCTGCCCAGTGTAGCAGTTCCCCTACCTCCCCCTCTGCCTGGTACTGAAATGCTGCCACCCACTCCTGCTCCTTCTCTTCCTGGAGTGGGAATACCTCCCCCCCCTCCTCTACCTGATATGGGAATACCTCCTCCTCCCCCTCTTCCTGGAGTTGGTATTCCCCAACCTCCTCCTTTGCTGGGTATGGGAATTCCACCAGCTCCAGCCCCTCCTCCTCCACCCCCTGGGACAGGGATCCCCCCACCTCCCCCACCCCCTCTGCTCACTGGGTCTGGGCCTTCACTCTCCCCACAAGTTGGGAGTAGCACTTTACCAACACCACAAGTGTGTGGGTTTCTTCCTCCTCCATTGCCAACTGGCTTGTTTGGATTAGGGATGAATCAGGACAGAGGGAGTAGGAAGCAACCAATAGAGCCTTGTCGGCCAATGAAGCCTCTTTACTGGACAAGAATTCAACTCCATAGTAAAAGGTAACATGAAAGCAAGCTCATCTTCATACAGTTTTGTCAATGCAAGGGGAGCATTGTGCCTTAAAACTGTTGGGAAAAATACAACTTAATGTGTTTTTTTTAGTACAACTCTAAAACTTACCTGTAGATTTTTATATCATTATTTGGTGAAGCAGTTGGTTATTTAAAATTGCAGGCTTTTCTCCAGCAATATCAAAGGGGTAAAACAAATGACATATGTTTTGATGTGTGAGATGTATATATGTCCCTCTATATAGTTATTTATGTGTCTTTTATGGACATATTTCCTTGTATATGTGCTGTTTCCTAGTTGCAGGACTTGACTGCTACTTATGCCTGAATCCAAGTGAAACATTGCTTATACACAAAATGAAGGAGTGCAGATAAGCAGATATTTGTAGATCAGCTATTTTCCCTATAAGATTTTTATAGGGAAAAATCATTGATTTTATTATTTAAATTTCCATTTCTTATAAATTAAAAATACAAATTGAATCCATAGGCAAACTGACTGCTAAGTATGGTGTTTGCATCCTTTAAAAGACATAGCCTTGCTTTACTATTCTGTTTTGTTTGTAGCTGTCTTTCCTAAGAAACAGTTGCAAAAATATAKCCACATTCCATGTGTGAAATAATTTAGTTTTAAAGAATTTCATGGCACTTCTACAAGTGATTGTCTATACAGTGTGAAGTTACAAATCATAGTTGGGAATAATCATCATAAAATAATACTTTTCAACAATCTGTTACCAGATTTCTCCCATGCATTGTCCATGACCTGGTTCCCTAGTCATTGAGACAGTGCTGGGAGACTTCTCTGTGGAATATGGAGGAGGGGAAAGAAAAACCAGATACTCAAAATGCCCTTGGCCTTCCTTCTTCTAACTTATCACGTTTCCTTGTATTTTCTTTGTGTTATGTGACTTGCATTTAGAAACAGTATATTTAGCAGGTTCTTTTTTGGTTTCTTTTGCTAATTTTCTCTTCACTAAACCCTATCAGGAGGCAAGAATCTATATATCTTGACTACTTTTTAACTTTGTTGTTTATTCTCTGTGAAGGTGCCCTATCACTTATATATGCTGATGGATCATTTTAATACTGTGCCCCAAACTAATTCTCTCCAGATACATGATTTAAAGTTCTTTTGTTTTATTGTTGTTTTGCTTTTGTAAAAAATCGTTTAACACTTTTTAGGATACTACATGAATCTGTACTCATTGAGAAGCCAAATAATAATGGTCAATGGGAGGCAACGGGGATAGGGAGGATGCTTTCTTGGAAATATACATTTTTAGCCCATGAGTAATCTGCCAGGCTAATGAGGCAAGTTGGGATTGTGAGATATCAAGCATTTCTTGCCTTCATAGCCCATTCTGAGAAGGAGTTTCTTTTTATGTTTTTATATGGTGATATCATAACTCAGAATTCCTGGAAATTATTTCATGGCAAAGGTTTGGTCCTAAATGGATAGAATTTTAACTTTCTCATCAAGTTGATAAAATATTACTTTCTCCTTATCTTTCTTTCCTTCCCCTCCCTTTTTTTTCTGTTTGCCTCTTCCCTCCCTGCCTTCCCTTCTTTTCTGTTTATGCTCCACGTGATGTAGTTCTGCTTGATGGCCCTTTCATTGTTCTTTTGCTTAACTATAGAGACTCCAGTCCTTCACTTATTTGGGAAAAAATTGAAGAGCCATCCATAGATTGTCATGAATTTGAGGAATTGTTTTCTAAGACTGCTGTAAAGGAGCGAAAGAAACCTATTTCTGACACTATCTCAAAGACCAAGGCTAAACAAGTAAGTATTCTTGTGCTTTCTGATATTGGACAGGTTTCTGACAGAAGTACAAACTTTCATTGGAAAAACTTTGAAATTATTTATGGACTGTGTAAAACCTTCACAGACCTTAGGTAGATAGCAAATATTAGAATTTTAGAACATGTGGCTAAGTTTAAGACTAGCCCAGATGGAACAAAAAATGATCAACTCCATTAAGTTAATAATGTTCTGACTCTTTCATATTTCCAAAATCACAGCCTTTGCTTCTTTCCAGAATTAGTTGTCTGGAAATCAGTTTTTATTTGATTTAAATTAACCTGAGTGCTAGTATGGATGGAAAGAAAGGCAAGAGTGGACAGAGAAAAACAAGCAAGTAAGAAGTTTAGTCTATAGTAACCGATGATGTGTTTTTGCTGCCTTATAACTGAAATGGATGCAATTAAAACCCAGCTGAACAGTCACACTGTACTTGAAACATGGAAGAAAGTTTTATATCCACTTTTAACATCTTCATTGCATGACATGAGTCAGAAAAAAAAGAATGATGCATTTGGAGAAAAGCATTTCCAAACAACTTTTTCAAGGACTACATTCTTTGAACTTGATCATAAAATGGTATTTCATATTTCTCCAGGGTGGCATTTAGGAAGGTATAGTAAAATGCCACAGTAATGAGCTCCAGATATTAGGAATTGTCCAACCATCACCCCGAATTGGGGAGCATCTGCATTTGTTAACTACTGCAGGAGGTGGGAAAGAGTACAATGAATATAAGGAAATGGCAATCAGCCGGGTCTTGGGAGGGAAATGTGGGAGAAAGTGGCCAGTGTCCCCAGATGAGTGCCAGATAATGGAGTGATTCTTGAATTTTTGCCTCTGGCCTTGAAATTGAAGCTAGGCATATGACCCAAAGTTCTTTTTGTTAATATTTATTTCAGAACCGACACCTTCTACCAGTTGTATATGGTGGATTTCAACCAGGAAAGGATGGATTTGAATGGGACAGCCAGATCCCAAGGGCCCATAGCTGACTGGGTGGGCAGGCTCATCCCAGACATTTCATTAATCTCAGAAGGATACAAACCCAAACATGATATGGTTGAAATTCTCAAAACAATCCTCAGAACTATTTTCAGAAGCATTACATTGTAGGTACTCAATAAATATTTGTTAAATTAACATACTAGCCAACTGAGGGAGGAAGACTTTACAAATGTAGTTATTGACACGTTTCTCAAGAGTATAGAGATTGATTCTGCTTTGTTTATGTACTCTGTTTCCTAATTGCAGGACTTGACTGCTACTCATGCTTGAATCCAACTGAAATAATGCTCATATATAAAATGAGAGAGGGCAGATAAGCAGAGATGTTTACAGCCCAGTTATTTTCCATATTGAGAGTTTATTCTTTGATTTCACTATTTAAATTTCCATTTCTGTCAAATAGCTTTAATATGTAAATCAAGTCCATAGACTATGTTCCGTAATGATTAAAAACCAGAAAATCATCCATGTCATAATAATAAGTCCAAGGTGACAATGTTAAGGGGAATAGAGGTCAATGGAAAATCATATTTTCTCTGGTAGAGAGATTTATTTTGCAAATATTTTCCATGGCATATTTTCATACAGTGCTCTGAGGCTGAGTCATCTTCATATCTCTTCTCATGGACTGTATCAGAGGTGGGAAAGTTGTCTGGGCAAGGAGTATGGGTAGAGAGTACAGACGTCAAGGAGACCCAGGCAGCCACAACTGTTACTTGACAAGTGGACATATGTGGCATGGGCAGTCTCTTGTCAAGGGAATAAATACTCAGAAAAATAAAGGATGTTCTTCCTCCCTCTCAATACCCCTCTTTTTGCCAAGGGAATTCAGACAAGGAAAAAATTTCATATTTTACCCAAAATGATATGATTTCATGCTTTACTTAACATAGCAGTCAATTTTTAACTTCCTGAAATATTATGTATTTTTTGATGTAGTTGACATCAAATGACCTCTTTGCATATTAACAATGCATCTGTATTGAGCATCATCCCAGCATAATCATCTGACTCTATCCAGACATTTCATAAATTGTGGGTAAGAGACTTTGCCAGTGTCTTAATTTGTGCTTATGGATGCTACTGTTGACCTTCAGCTTCAAACAAGGATTATGAAACAGTCTCTGTCATGACTCTCGATAAGCTTGTTCAGCAACTCCTTGGCCTGGGTCTTAGTACTGATCTCTGCATTTCAGATCTGTTTTTGGAGGGATAAAAACTTTTTCCCCCTGTATATTAGATAATATAAAAGCAATACATTACTGAAGAAACATAATTTTATTAAACTTCATTGTATTTGGAAGAAAAATCTATACATTCCATTTCCTTGAGACACTTAGAATTTTGTTTAAGGAAAGTGTATTTTGAGGATGCATGCAAATAGTTTCCCTTTTAATGGGAAATATACACTGATTGTCTGCGTAGACATTTTGGTACCTCATGATTCATTTCCAGTAAAATTAATAGCCTTTAATGCTGTGGCAAATGTTTATGGCAGTATTTCAAGCAATTCTTCTTATATACAATGGAAGCTAGAAGTTCTGTTTTTCTTTAAATATTTAAAAATAGCCAAATAATTTTTCTGTGATCTGTCTTCTTGAAAGTAAGACTGTTCAAATACACTGGTATTTAACGAGGTGCCTGTGCTGTTTTTACTGTCGCAGCAGACATTTTCTGTGTGATAATAGACGATTCCTCAGCTGGGCACATTGTACATTGCCCTTTGGTATAAGGAGAAACAAGTTTGTTTTCTGGATACCCAGATTCATAGTAATGATGAATATCTTGGATTTCTAAATCCTTTCCTCCAAAGAACTGAAGACAAAGCATTTTATATTTTTCTCATGAAACATGAATCCAAGTCTGTTCTGTGATAATTTCTTCATTCATACTTATTTTACTTTGTAATAATACTCATAAGGAGATTAGCTAAGAAGCTATATGGTAGTCAATTAGACTATATTAACCTGATAACTCAAAATATCAACAACCTATCTGTTAAGGAATAAAAAGAAAAATTTTAAAAAGGGACCTTATACGATGCCTTGTGTTTAAACCTTGACACTTGGCTTACATACTTGCCCATTTTTAAGAAATGTTCCAGAGCTTATAAATGAGTTCACTTTCTATTGTCAGATAAATCAGTGATTATTAGTGTGGATAATTGGATAATAACCCTATGTCACCTTAGGATCTTTCATGATCATACAGATTAAATTAAATTTAACCTAATCTTATGAGCAGGAAAGTGAGAGGATTTACTTTGGAATGATTTTGGTAATAAGAACTGCCTAAAAAAATGTAATTTTATGGTTAATCTCTTGTCCAATGGGATCATGGCAAAATATATTTTGATAAACATGGTAGGAGGACTAATAGTAATGGGACAACCACAACAATAATCATAGCAACCTTAAGTCATATTCTACCCATTATTTACCACTTCCCAGTTATTGTTCTTAGCACTTTACTTCTGTTAACTGATACTCCTGTGAGACAGACACTGTTGTTCTCTGTTTATACTACAGAAAACTGAAATATTAGCAGAATTCTATTATGTTCCAGGGTTAGTAAGGGGCCAAAAACTTGGGTTCTAATTCCAGCTATCCTGGTTTCAGAACCTATATTTTCCTAATTAAGTCTTAAATGTGGATGTGAAGTATTTTTATATAAATGTAGTTTTTTTATTTATGTGGAGACCAGAATATGTACTTTAAAAAGATTTGAATTTGTATTTGTTTTCATATATGTTCAGTATTTAAGTAACTAAATTTTATTTTAGAATTTATGTGGATACACTTTGAAAATTTTTTCCATATTCTAACAGATTTTGACAAGTACATAAACTATGATACCACCAACCATGACATTTGCCCAGTTAAATAAAAGTTTATCTGAATGATGTGAGCTTTWGACACATAGGCTTCTATAAGCAATAAAAAAATGAGGGCCATTTGCCTGAGTGGCATATAAATAGTGGTTAGAGGTAGACAGCCACTTTGGTTAAATTTCCCCAAACATCAACTGATGATAACTTTTTTTCACCCCACGACACAAAAAGAACCATCTCTGTAAAACATCCCTAAAGTAAATAATGTCTAATCATGCTTATAAGATCTGTAAAGGAACATGCTACCCACAATGTAAATTTGCCCACAGAAGTTAGCAAGAGCAAATAAGAGGAATCTGTGTTATTTTTAAAATATGTAACTGACATTTGTGTAACCATTTATTGCAAAACAAATGAATCTCATCATGTATTTCTTCTATTTCTTAGATTAAGTGTTGTTCCCAAAGATTTGTGGAGAAAAAYTTTTTACAATAGTTAAATTTGTTGGGCTTTAACCTCTGGAAGTATGATTATAAAAAYAGTTAAATCTGCTGCTTATTAAGGAGAGGTAGTGAAGGGATTCATATCTAATACAGATGTAAATGTTAAGGAATTAGAAATTTGTATCCTGTTCAGTCTCTTTGTTGTACTTGATGACTTTACCAAATACTCCATAAAAAGCATTTTTTTTTTATGTTGTAAAAATTTACAATAATGATGGGAAAAGAAGCATTCATCATTTAACTGGTCTTATTTGGGAATGCATGTGGAATACCTCCAAGATTCTTTTATATATATATATATATAAGTTATACTGGACACAATATCTTTATTTTTTATTTATCTTTTATGTGGTGCTGAGGATCGAACCCAGTGCCTCATATGTGTAAGGCAAGCACTTTGCCAACTGAGCCACAACCTCAGCCCACCTCCAATATTCTTTTTTAAAGACTTTTTAAATGCACCATAGTTATACATTGTGCTTCATTTTGACATGAAATGTTATTAAAAGACTTCTTGTTATGTTGATGTTGGGGGAATGTGTGTACTGCACTTCAAATATTGCTTGTTGCTGTAATACTGACTGCCATGCAAAGGAAAAGAGAAGTGTTGAATTGTGAATTCCTGTTTCTATTTTATTTGC